AAAAAAACTTATTTTATAATATTAGAAACAGGTTCCTGTTTCATTTCATGACTAGAGATAAGTTTTCATGTTTCGTTTCGTGAACGTGCAGCGCTCCCTTCACAGTTTTGGCGTACACCAACGTGAACGAAAACGGAGACGCAACGTGGGGTATTCGCTGACTGGCTGGTGAAAAGCTGGGTGAGGGTCATGTTTCGTGTTTATGGTTAAGAGATGGTCTAAGTTGTTTTCCATCGTTAAATTCTAACCTTATGTAATTATTAATATTTAAGTGAAACTTAAGTGATATTTTGCTGAAATATTTGGACCTCCAAATTCAACTTGGACTCAATATGCATACACAGTAGAGGTAAAAATGAATTGGTACAAATCAAGGCGATCTTTATATCAGGCCTCTACACCGTGTTCAGGCCAGTGACCGACTGGGGGCCAACAGATAACACGTGAAATTTCGTTTCTGGAATTGGATGGATTAAGATTTTTATTTTAAGAAATTTTTTACCTTTTATCTTTGGATTAACTTAAGTTTATTATTTAAAATACAGAAGTAAGTATAATATTTATTAAGTAAGTATAATATTTATTTTATTTCAACTCGTATATGTCATTAAGAAATGTCCCAAGCGTCATTAAGAATTTATAAAGTTAATTTGAATTTAATATTTTTCTCTATACTGTTATTCTTCAATAATGAAGACATTAAATATAAATTATTTTTTATGAATAATAATTTATGTTTTTTTTTTAAATGTATTGTTAAAAGTATTTTTATTTTTTCTGTTCTTCATAAATAATAAACCTAAGTCATAAAAATGTAGCATTTTCATTGCGAAATTAATGAAAAATGACACTTATTAAATAACTTAATCATAGTTAATGTCAAAAATTATATTCAATAAATTTATTAATATTTTACAACTATTCTTTAAAAAATATCACGAAAATATAAAAGAGAAGGAATTATTGCCTTGGCAATATCGTTTTTTTTTTTCTTTTTTACATTTTTTTGCGATTATTGTAAACAGCGGAATTCACCAAAAAAAAGGAAGAATTTAAGTCACAGAATTTTTTTTTCTTTTCTTTACGCTGTTATTCTTCATAATAATGAATATCTCGATTATAAAATTCATTTTTAAGGAATAATTTAGGTTTTCTTTATAACACGTGAAATACGTTGATACCGTCTTTGTGAGAAGATAAAAAAAAATGAATGTCATTGTTTGTATTACTATTTTTCAAAGTTTACTATACAGAAATTTCCACATTCGGGAAAATTTGAATAAAAATTTGGTGAAACATTTTTCTATGATACTATTTTTCATAACAAACATTGATTTAAAAAAAAATTATTATTTAAAAGTATTTTCTATGTTATGTATTTTCTATTGTTATGGCGAACTTTCCTCAATGGTACCTAGATTTATGAATTTAATCGCAGTACTAGAATGGCGGCAAAGACTCATCATTTTACAGTTGAAATGGCTAGAAGTAACCGTAAGTTCTAGGCAAAGAGTTTCTTCTATCGCACTTCTCGCTTGTGGAACTCTCTTCCAGGTCCATGATTCTCAGTCAAGTTTGATCTTCAAAAATTTAAATGCAATATCAATCATTATCTTTTGTCTTCTTCCTTCTTGATTTTTTATTATTTTTATTGTATGTGTCGAATTTTACTATCGTTGTTGTTGTTAAAAATGTAAAACAAATTAACCAGTTTAATCTTTTTAAAAAAAATATACTGTAAAAATATTAAATTGGTTAATTTTGTTCAGATAATCGTATTTTTTGTGGGGGCGGGGGCACCCATAACTATTTGGGAATCTTTTTGAACCACGGAATTTCTTAACGACAAAGGGAAATAAAATAAGATGAAAAATTTCCACATTCATATAGACTTTAAAATTCTTAATTCTGAATCCCAAACACCCCGGACCTTAAGGTTCATGCACTGCCTGATAGCATCAGCCTATGTCTTTCTGTATTCATGCAAGCGTCACCCAGGGCTATATCTATTGTCCTGATCTGACATCTCATCTTTAGTCTCTTTCCCACCGCCGTAATGTAGCTTCCCTCTGCCTTTTCTATAAATACTTTCATGCTAATTGTTCTGGCGAACTTTCCTCAATGGTACCTAGATTTATGAATTTAATCGCAGTACTAGAATGGCATCATTTTACAGTTGAAATAGAAGTAACCGTAAGTTCTACGCAAAGAGTTTCTTCTATCGCACTTCTCGCTTGTGGAACTCTCTTCCAGGTCCATGATTCTCAGTCAAGTTTGATCTTCAAAAATTTAAATGCAATGTCAATCGTTATCTTTTGTCTTCTTTCTTCTTGATTTTTTATTATTCTCTCTCCTTAATAGTATTTTTTTACATACTCACTAACATTCAGTAAGCCTTTGCGTTTTAGTGGATTTATTGTCTTGACTGAGGTGAAATTATTAAAAAAACAAAAAAAAACAGATCAACTTCAAATAAAAAAAAGTTCATCTTCAAATGACAAATGTTCAATTTTGAATTTTAAAGAATAGCGTATCAGGAAGTAACCACTCCGAGGGCTGCGACTGCTTCTCCCCTAAATATATTGTCTATTGTCTTGAATAATGAGATCTTTGGCATCATGGGCAATTCTTTGAAAAAGTTTCCTCTTCAAATTTGCAGCAAGATTGTTTGTAATTGCTGTGCTTATCATTAGGTTTCCCAAAAATTCGAAAAAATTTAATTTGAAATTACAAGTGTTTCATAATGAAATACCAGCAACTATAACGATTCGTTTAATATCAAAAGCGCAAAAATAAAGCGAATAGAGTAGTTAAAAGAGGTAATTACAAGTCTTTTTTTCTTTTTTTGTACCGTGTCCCTTCAGGACGTAGATGATAATGGCTCTACCCTATCCCTTGTAGCTCTCAATAAGTTTTGTCCCTTTGCTACATCTTCCAGGCCATGTTCTGTCATCCACTTGCTTAAAACCGCTAGATATGTCATGCGTTGTGAGTATCAGATTCTCCAGGCCCTACTTTCTCATTACTTGTCCCAGAAATATCAGCGACCTCTTCCTGGTGTTACGTATAAGATTCCTCCTTGTTTGTATCCTCTGCAAAACCTCATCGTTACTCACACACTCGGTCAATGATATCCTTAGCATCATTCTGTAGAACCATACCTCCGCTGCTGCGAGTCTCTTCTTCATCTTTGAGGAAACGGTCTAACATTCGCTGCCGTAAAAGAGGATAGATGTCACGTAGAAACTCAGTACCCTTTTCTTTGTTATCAAAGAAAAACCCCTGTCTCGTAATACTCTGCCTAGCTTTTAGAATGTGTCTTTGGCCATCTAAATACGTCTTCGGATTTCAACGTCGCACTTGTCGTCCTCTATCAAAACACTTCCCAGGTATTTAAACTTCCGCACCTGCTTTATTTTAGTGTCCCCGACCTGTAAATCGCATTTCGGGCTCATCCTTTCACTGATGACTATGTATTCTGTCTTCTTGTAGTTTATGCTTAGTCCCTTCTTCTCGCTCTCCTCTACCTTCTGTAGGAGGCTTACAAGTACTATATTGATGTTGATGTCAAAAGAAGTGCGCTGTGCTGCATCTGTGAATGGGTACTAGAAAGTAGTGTCTATAGCTAACGTGGCTTCAGCACAAACAACTTGTGCATAGATACGGAAAATGTATTCAGACTTCTACCCCCCCCCAAGTATGATGCGGTGAGGATGTCAAGAAAGTTCTACACCATAACATAGGGCAAATATCAGATTTAACCCTGACAAAACTTGAAGAGAAACTCACTGCTGAAGAACAAATATACGTGTCAAATTGCTACAATCGGAAAAAGTAATCTGTTAAGAAATTCATCTCAGAACTTACCGCTAAAACCTCGCATGCCAACAGAATTAAGCGAGCACATTATGGGGAATCGATAATGAAATCAAGTGGTAAAGGCAAGCGATTCATTTATATCGATGAAACAAACTTCACATGGTAGATCTAAGTAATGGACCAGATGTTGTATGAAGGCAGCTTCATCTACAGGAATTAATATACACATCAATGGATCAAGCATTCAAACCAGTCTGGCGTATCGAAACGAACAAAGAGGCTCATTTACAAATAACAAATGCTGCTAATGTTTAAGAAAGCGTCTCAGAAACATTTCGGACGATATAATGTAATGAGTTATTGTCTGCAACAATGCACCTGTTCGTATGCTCTGGGAAAAGGTAATTCAAGAAGACGAATCTATCGGCGCCATTATTATCCGCAGTGTCCTATATAATGGTAATGGCAATATTAGCTGTTTCCTTACAAGGAAAAATTTGGAACTCATTGACCGAACAGCTAGTACTGTTTTCGGCTGAAATTTATAAAATCTTTCTCTTAAATTAACCTGCAGGAAAATAGATCATGTAGCTGTTTTCACTCTTTTTAGTATCGACAGGGGTTTCTTTCCTAACCTTTGATTTGAAGTGAGATGGATAATTTTATTATGTTATTAATTTCTCTTCGAGTTTTAGTTGTTGTTGCTAGTCCTCCAGTAATGCTGTTTCTGTTATTTGGTACAGTTATTTGTTTGTGATTCTGTAGCGCCAGTCCACAAGGTTCAAAGAAAGATTGATCATTGCCAAGACCCTCACATGAAGGTGGTTGTATACAGTTGATAGTTTATATATTTCCGTACAGTATAGCGGCCATGCATGACATCTATATGAAAGTCTCGATCTGAGGAAGATATTTAAGAACATGATTCGCGTTTTCAGATTGATGTTTTGGTTCTGTAGTAATTCGTGGTATTGGATAAAACTACCTATGGCGCAACTTATTCTATTTTCACTTTCCTTTTCGCCTGTACTGAATTTTTTATAAAGAATTTTATTTATAGTACGCCTCTAAATCTAATCGAGGAATGGTAGAACGTTTTTATTGATTTTGTTTTGTACGGTTTATCAACCTTTTGTTGGTTGTTTAAAGCCGAAATATATCTCAGATTGTAGGCAGTTACTTACAGTATCTGGTGTTCACAATTGGTCACCCATCTAAGTACAAACCAAGCTTGACGCTGCTTAACTTCAGTGATCAAACGAGAACCCTTGTTTTCAACGTGGAATGTCTTGCAACCAATGAATGTCTGCGCGAATCTTAAAACAATAAAATATTGTAAGATTAAGGAAAATCTAATTTCTGTTTGAATTTATGGGATTTCAAAATTATATTTGGACTATTATCGCCATCTTTGTTGTCATTATCACCTAATTAATGTCCTGGCAGAAAACGATATGAATGCGCATGTAGAATGAGTTTAGCACATACACAAAAATTGAAAAGGGCGTAAGGCAAGTATGTGTTTTCTCACCGGGTTTATAAAATTAGAAACTGGAGCAAATGTTGACAGAAAAAGAGTTGGTGCACCAAAAGTGACAACTGCTGGAGAAGACAGACACTTGATTATTGAACACAAAATAAATAGAAGGAAAACCGTCCAAGAGTTGAGAGCTGAAATTAAAGCCTCTCGATAGCAACCAGTATCGATCCCCGCTGTAAAACATCGATCAACGGGGGCTCAATATGTGCATAGCCATCAAGAAAGCTCTTTTACGGAAGGTGAATAAACGAAAAAGTTTTTTATGATAAAAAAAGCATGAGAGCTGGATATTGAAAGAGTGGCAAAATTTCTACGTTTTTGGTAGAAAGAAGAAAGTGTATGTGAAAATAAAGCCAGGAGACTAAAGCACGAATGTGCGGTCTTAACACTTAGGCATCGTGGTTGGTCTGTTATGATGTGGGTTTGTTTGGGTCGGGGAGTGGACTGGTGATTTGATTCAGGTCAAGGGAATCATGGAGAAAGAGCAATCATTCAATTTTGCTATACCATTCGGTTTACGTAAATTTGAGAAAAAAAAAACACTTTTGAACAAGACAAAGATCTAAAACACGCTCCAAAATTCAGTCAAAATCACCTCGTGGCAAAAAAAAGTAAATAAATTATGGCTTGGCCGCTTCAATCTTTCAGTAAATATGAAAAACTGAAAAATCTTAAATAGTAAAAATATGAAGAGAAATTAATAACACCTAAAGATTGCTAAAGAAGTGACCAAAAGGACAATGAATAATAAGGATAATTTTTGCACTCACTCATTCCCAACAAACAAAAATATATAAGAAAGATGAAAGATAAAAAATTAATTGAATCTTACTCGTCTGTTATATTTAATGAAAGATGTTGAAAAGAAATGATTCTCATCAAATATACATTAACATATATATATATATATATATATATATATATATATATATATATATATATTCTCCCATATTGTCGACACAGAATAGCAATAAATATATATATATATATATATATATATATATATATATATAGGAAAAGTCCGTGGGTAAGTAATCCAAGTGAACTCTAATAATATAAAATATTAAAACTGATCCACAAAAGAGAACTCAATATATTTATTATAGAGGCATAGAAATGAATTACTTAAAAATGAAACTCAATTGTACCGTATTTATATGGCCATTTCTCGTTAAGAGAAAATCCCTGGAGATTGTCAATACTAAAACGTTTGATAAAAAAAACAAACTTTTTTTCTCTCGAGGTGCGAAATGGCTATAGAAATGGGATACAATTGAGATTCATTTTTAAGTAATTCATATATATATATATATATATATATAGAGAGAGAGAGAGAGAGAGAGAGGGAGGGAGTGTGAGATGGGTAAATTGTCACATTTTATATTTTTAATTCAACTGCACAGTATATTAGGGTCATTTGGGCACCGTTTGTGAGAAAAAGAGCACCATAACGCAATTCACTTCGCCAGAAATTTGGAAACGGCATGCTGTACTGCTTAGCATTCGCGCCGGAAGGTCCAATACGAACGTTTCATAGTGTTTGGATGTTAATCTGAGAAGAGTGCAGAGGATTCGGAAACAGGAGATATATTCGGTCCACATCATGATATTTGGAGTGATCACTAACGATGGCGGTGTTATGTCTGTATACTTCTTCCCACAGTGCCGCAGACTCAACACAGACGCCTACATCAAGTGCCTTGAAGAGGTAGTTCTGCTCTGGGTCAAGTGGTTGACTGCAGGAAGACCCTATGTCTGGCAACAGGACTCTGCACCTTGCTACACAAACAGGAGAACCAAGTTATGGCTGTCAGATAATTTCTGTGATGATATCACTCTTTGCAACTGGCCAACTAACTCTCCAAACTGCAACCACCTTGATTATTATGTGCGGGGCGCAGTTGAGCGAGAGACCAACAAAACTCCTTGTAACACCAAAGACGAACCGAAGACAAGGATTATAGCAACATTCACCAACTTAAACAAGGAGACCGTACAGAAGAGATGCAGGAGATACCGAAGTCTTTTGGAGGGCGTGATTGAAGCCAGTGTCAATTTTATTGAATAAATCTACTCATTATTATTTCAAGATATTTTTATATAATTTGTCTGAATATATCTAATAAGATGAGATTTCAGTATTATTTCGTTTTTACGTAATTTAGACGACAATTTATGCATCGCACCATTTATATCCAATGCAAGATATATACAATAAATAAACTTTATGAGATATAAATGTTTCATAACGTCTCATCAACAATAATATATCCCCTACTGATTCCAGTAAAAAATCTGACAAAAGCGTTAATAATATGTTAGTTTTACTACACAGACCATGACGAGAAGGCTTATGTTTCACGTAAATGAGCATAGTTCAATTTCAGAGCATTAAACGGAACATTCATGCCCACTTTCACAGTTTAGGCAGACATTAGTCGAAAATACAACAGTACTCCGCCAAGATAATAATGAGCAAAAACTAAAAATTCTAGAAGCTCTTTATATAAGAGAATTGCAGCTAAAAATAAACAAAGTCAACAACGAGTATAGCAACAAATTTCTTAAATTTTTATAGCAGCAAAGACTTTAAAAATTCTAAATTTGAAATGCTAATAATTAAAATTTTAAACCTATAAAAATATACTAAAAAAATTATGTAACGGGTAAGTATTTTAATTTTTGCTGTGTTCCGCAGACACAGACACTCAACTAAATTATTTAACCAAACAAGCTTAAATGAAAAATGATGCCTATATATATATATATATATATATATATATATATATATATATATATATATATATATAGTGAAACCTCAATTTAACGGACTAATAGGGGAGGGTCTTCCGTCAAAGCCGTTTGTCCGTTAATTTGGAGTACATTTTTCGTGGCCTAAAAACACCCAGTAGAGTACAGAATTATTGCAGATCAATACAGTATATATATATATATGTGTGTGTGTGTATATACATATATATATATGTGTGTGTGTGTGTGTGTGTGTATTTTATTTATAAGTTACTTAAAATAAATTACACACATACAGATAGTGAGAGAGAGAGAGAGATGCTGTGTATGTCACGTTTTAAATTTACTCCAACTTCTTAATAAGTTCCAATTTGACACCACTATAATCAGTGCGCTTCCTTTTCTCATCTTCGTGACGATTGGATGCCATAATGAAGGGCTTGACAGAAAAAAAATACTGTAAACTGTACCAAAATCAATGTAAAATGTACGAGAGATGATGCATGTGTGTACACGACGGGCGCTCAAGTAAATAACAGGACTAACAGTCTTTGTTGATTGCACCAGCAAACAACAGCTGCCAATTCTAGAACTAACGGACTTTTCTCGCTACGCGTGAACGTTTTGAGTTCCAGACGGGCATTACCATTTCTGCGGATTTTGTCCATAAAAATGGGAGGTCTATTTCACCAACGAACTCTGGATTTAAATCCAGAGTTCGTTGATGAAATTTTTCATTTTTATTTATTAAATAGTGTGTATTATGTCTATCAACATTCGTTAACCTACGTCACATTTCATAGAGGGAACAACCGGTGAATCCAGTGTGTTTAATCGATTGGTCACGACACTCACAGCAAGTAAGGTTCGATTTATGAAATCTCATCCTCTTCACTCAGATTATTTTCTTGAAAGCTTCATATTTTCTCAGTTATGAAGATGAATTAGATATAATGAATTTAAGGGTTTTTATATATTATATCATTTCTTTTTTTCACTATTATATATATATATATATATATATATATATATATATATATATATATATATATATTTATATATATATATATATATATATAAATATATATAATATTCACTATTATATATATATATATATATATATATATATATATATATATATATATATATATATATATATAATAGTGAAAAAGAAATAATATAATTTATAAAAATTCGTAAACAAGTCTTGGCACATATTCGTGTTGAATTTTAAATTCGTTCCCACGACATAAAGTGATTAAAATACTTCGTTTAAAAAAAACATAAAAAAGAGAAAAAAATTCTTATTCTTTATGCATAATTTTGTTTTATAATTTGTTAATTTAAATGACTTAAAATTTATTCATATACGGAGAAAGTCGTTTGCTATAATCGCGAACAATATTATCGAACGGTTATCGTTATTAAAATCATTTGGTTCCAAACCGTAAATCAAATAAATATCAATTTCAAGTCAATAAATTTTGTATTAATTTCTTATAAAGTCGTTTATGACGTATAAAAATTGTTCAATTTTTTTTATATAGAAATTGCTTAATATTATCAACCGGTTATTTGTCATCTGAAAGACTTTTCACACAAATTGGTCACAATAAGCGGTTTATGTTGTATTCTCTTTTACTGAAGGCATCATAAACCAATTTTTCAACACATTTGATTTTTTTTTGTTTACTTATGTATATTTAAAAAATACTGAAAGACTTCTTGCATTACAATAATTAATTTACCAACAAAAAAGTCAATTTTACTTTGAGGAATTTATTTGTTGTTCCAGTCTACACATTTCTGATAGTGTAAGCAATACTAAAAAAAATGAAACAAGTTACTTACCTGAAGACATTGACGCAAGTAAAACATTCCTAATCATTATTTTTCCACAAAAGGCTTTTTTATATATATATATATATATATATATATATATATATATATATATATATATATATATTTGTTTATATGTATCAATATTTTAATGACT